AATGATTCCCTTGTGTGACCTGCTGTGGGCTGTTGCCATTAAGATACCAGAGTCACCTTGTCTGACCCTCACACAGAGTTAGGAGTGCCTTAGAGTTTATGTCTCTCTGGGACAGCCATAACCAATAACTGACTGGCACTGGAAGTTCAAAAGCCTTTGGTTTGAGATGAGACAAACTCTGGGGGTATAATTTATGGTCCAGAGCTCCCTATGGGATCAGGCTAAGACTGGGATTTTACCTGATATCACACCCTTGCTCCACTTCCTCCCATTTTCTTTCTTGCGTCTCTCACTCCTTTACTAGTTTATTCTAGGACTCCTTCCTCAATACATCATTTGCAGTGAAACCTTGGTTCAGGGTCTGTTTCTGGAATAACCTGAGCTCAGACATGCCTCCTTCTGGGAGAACATGGACTAAAATATGCATCTTTCTGAAGGTGGGCAGTCTCTACCTGTGAGCTAAAGCATACACTCCATCTGTCACCATATTTCAACCTTCTGAAAGGATACACCTCCTGGCTAGAGGCTTTTCTAGATATACAAAGTGGGCCACAGGAACTGTTATTGATGAAAGGATGCTCTGATAGGTCCCTGGTTCCCCTCAGTGGAATCTGGTTTGAGAATCTCAAGCCACCATTTAAGCCATTTGTTTAGGGAGTAGAGGGAGGGAGATAGTCAAGCAGCAGGGTTTTCCAAAGCCCGTGGAGAAGTCCTGAGGGTTTTTGCCTTGGATGGACAGCAGGAAATATGAAAGTAAAATTACAAACTCTCCTTAACCTTACAGAAGTCACCTTAGAGTGAATGAAATGACTTGAGGGCACAGCCTAGCTCTTAGATTCTTGCAAAAAGAGATCCTTGGGATAAGTAATGAAAAATAAAAAAAAAAAAAAGATCGTAAATGCCCAACTTCTCATTGGGAGAAACAGAGACGGTGTCACAAGAGGATAAAATGTATGAGTAAGTGCTATGTGTTGTGCGGTGAGTGTCTTACGTTATTATTCTCTCATGTTATTAGAATTTTCCTACTAAAAAAATTCCCATCTCTTTAAAAATGATCCTGAATAGTTTATTGAAACCACTGTTTTTCAGCTGAAGATATGACCCCAAAAGGGAGGTCATTCGCATATGGATATGATTTTATCATTACCAGCAAGCTGAAAAGAACATGCTCTTAGATTAATGTATTCTCAAGGGAATGAGAATGAAACTACTACAAGAAATAACAATAATACTCAGTTTCTTGTTTCTTTCCCCCACCCTTTCGTAAAAAGTGTCAAGAAAGGAAAGTTATACAACTTGCAAGTGCTGTTTCTTCTCTCCCCGACTTCAATCAGAGTTCTGTGGTCTTTGAGAAAGGCTGGATCCACTGGCAAACAGATTTATCTAACAACATGATTTAAATTTTTCTGGCTGCATTGCAGGTTTGCTTTTGAATGGACAGGCTGCGGATGCATGGGCCTGGAGGAGTTGCTGGGTATATTTTGGCACAATAATCACAATCATATGTGAACCATATGTTGACTGCACAGTTTAAACCAAAAAAAATATATATCCTTTGCTATTCTTTGTGATTTCATATGGAGTTGGTTGGGATAGAGCTAAGCAGTTTAGGGCGCCAAGTTAAAAAAAATGCTTGGAAGGTCCTTTATACATTTTATTATTTGTAGGAAGAGAAGAAAAATAGAAAAAAAAAGTATATATATATATATATATATAGAAAGGATACTGAGCTATGAATGAAAAGTTTGAGTTTCTACTTTTGCTGCAGTTTGACCTTCATTAGTCATTTGACCTCTCAGCCTCAGCCTCCTCATCTGTGATCTGGCTGTTGAGTTTGATTCAATTGACAAGTGGATCTTCAGTAATCAGATTGGTGGGGAGAAAGAGCTGATGAGGATATACAGGCTGACCCCACAGAGATATTATGGCTCCCTCTAATAGACGTTGGCAGCATTTGAGTGTTCAGAGCCCAGTAAGAACCTATCTTCTTGGTGGCCACAACTATGGAATCTTACATCAGTCATGGACAGTAAATGAGTCCAGCCATGTGGCTCCTATTGATCCATCCCATTATGGGAGGGCCAGAGACTGTAGGAAGTGACTCAGGGAGGGGGATTCAGCCTCAGGGAAGCTCCCAAGGCTTCAGGGGTCTCAATTTAGAGGGAAAAATCATAGAAGGATTTAAGGTAGAATGAGAAGACTATCTGAGAAACCAAGACAAAGGCCTTATTATGCAGACATGATCAATCCAAGTGGTGATTAGGAATAGGCAGGCCCTCAGAAGAAAGTAGAAACTCCCAGCTCTTTCTAACCCCTGGCCCTGGGGATGAGGCTGTTGGCTCCTTCTAAGCTGCTCAAGAGGATATGAGGGCTGCATCGGTTACATGTTCCCAAATCCAATGCAGTGTTCTTAGGTGCTATTGATAGCTTCAGCAGGAGAGCCCAGGAAGCTGTCTGCTTCATGAAGTCATTCTTTTGCTTTTGCCCTTTCCCTCACAGATCAGAGTCTCACAAGTAATGGTCCCTCAACTGGTTGAGCCACTATTAGCATTCAAGCCAAATTCAAAAATTTACCTGAATATATTGTTATATATAAAGCAGCGCAGGTCCTGAAAACTCTGTTACAAGCACCCCTCCACTTCTGTCCTGCAACCTCTAGGTTTGGGTTAGGTCCTTGTGCTATTTTTCATTGACTGCTTTGAGCTTAGCTGTACTGATAAACACTGGAATTGTACAATTGAGAAGGACCCCGGAGTTTAGGAGGAAATGTTTATTGAAATCATAATTTGAAGATTTATTGACTTCAACAGGCATTATGAACATACATAGATGGTACACACCCACACACACTTGGGGATGTGAAAACATTCTCAGATGTTGCACACACTTATTTAGAAGTCTAAACACTCAGGTTAGCCACATTCATCTGAATGTTATGTTCACTCATTTGGAGTTAGATGCCCGGGTAATACAGATCCTCACTTGGAAATCGTGCACCTTCAGATGTGGTGTGCATGTTTTGAGACTGGCCAAATCCACTCACATGTCACTCACATGCACTCTGAATTGTCAGGTTCTTGCTCGGATGTGTACATACTATAGCAGGCACGGTCATTGAGCTGCTGCTTACCTGCACTCATCTAAGTGTGGCATATACTCATATGCCCATCCCTTCCTTTTTGCATGCGTGAAAATTCCCATGCTCGAGAAAATTCAGGTGAAAACTTGTCATATTGAATGTGTCACATTTTCTTAGGGCAGCTCTCCATAGCCTCTTTTTCTTAATGAAATAGTCCTGTGTCTCTGTCATTTCCCAAGCTGTACGCCTTAAGTGTCTTTAGATGGATAGTCTGATTGAAGGATGGTAGCCTGCAATGTATTTCATTTTTATAAAGCACGTGCTGGTTCACTATGCCCCGTTTAAATGATTGGTTTGGGCCCCCCCCCCCCCCCCCCCGCAACCACCTCATTAATTCACAGAAGTCTCTTGTGGGCACTCTTAGGGCAATTGATCTTTTGTTTTAGATCATGAGTCCCAAAGATCTGTGCAATAAAGCTCTTCTAAAAGAAAAACATCTATTCAAGAGAAATATAAACTGTGGGGCATTCAAAGAAATTGAACAATGTTATCCAACTTACAAACTTTAAAATAATCGTACAAAGAGAGTCTAACATTGGATATCACTTAATATTCAATAAAGGATCAGTCATCTCTATTCACACACTAGCATATTCTTACATCCTTCTAAGTTGAAGGCAACAATATTAGATTACTAGGCAGGAACTCAGGGCAATCACTGTTTATCTGATTAGGGTTTCTGCATCCAATCAGATTTGGCTTCATGATTGCTTTCGGTTTTAATTCAATCCAATGTAATTCGTTTGAACAAGCATTCATTGATCACTTGTTGGGTGGCAGGCATCCTGCTGGGCAGTGTGGGGCGGGGGTGGAGAATGATGCACAGATAGGTAAACCACAGTGCCTAGTTTGTAAAAGGTCACAATCCAGCCAGCGAAAGAGTAGTCCCATCTCATGCTATTGGAAAACAAAGCAGATGGAGATTAGGTGAGCTCTAGGGGAACTACAGAGGGAGATAATTCATCCAGACTGGACATATCTGGACAGGCTTTATAGGGAAGTGAAAGGCGTGCTCAGCCTTTGGAGGAAAACGGAAGTGGCCAGGATGCAGGGCACTGCAGTTAGAGGAAGCATAAGTCAGTAATGGCATGAGGTGAGATCCAAAAGATGTCTGTGCAATAGCATGGGGTCTGGAGTGGCTGGAAGATGGGAACACCAGGAGAAGACCTTCTAATCAGAAGACAGAAGACAGGCACAGAGGGCTTCAAATGCCAAGATGAAGAGTTTAGATTGTATAATTTGGACAATGGAAGGCCTATGGAAGTGTTTGAAGAGGGAAAGTGCTGCATGACTGGGACGTATATGATTAGGATGGCTGATTCATAAATCACGTGCATTAGAGGCAAAGAGACTAGTTGAATCTGGATAGGTGGGAAAGAACCCAACCTAGGCATTATCAGTGGAAGGAGAAAAGAGAGGTGGGGCAGATGCAAACCTACAGAAGTCAAATCAACAGACTTGATTAGAGATGAGGAATGAGAACTAAGGAGTTAGAACTGAGGATGAGCACTCATGAGGATGATTCAAGTTTTGGCCACTTGTCCGACAGTGCTACCATTTACTAAGAAAAGAAATGTAGAAGGAGGAGCAGACAGGTTTGTAGATGGAGGAGCAGACAGGTTTGTAGGGGTTGGGGCTGAGTGGAGTTTAGATAGGTCCAGTGTGAGCTGGCTTTGAGACAGCTAAGTGGAGATAAAGTTCTATAATATTGTACGTTTGGAAATCTGAAGCTCTGGACTAAAGTTTTGTGGTAGACAGAAACAATGTTTCCATATAGAAGTTGGGTTGACATCACGAGAACTAACAAGCTCATTCTTCCAGAGTGTTGCTGATCCATCTACTTCTCCCCTTTCCTGTCCAGTGTTTATCAGCTGGTTGTCAAGGAGGAGCGACTTCAGAAGTCACGGAGGGCAGCTGACATTATTGAGTGCTTTTCGGTGCCTGTGAGCTATCGGAATGCCTCCAGCCTCGATTCTCTACACTACTTTGCTGCTGAGTTGAAGCCTGCCAACCTGCCTGTCACCCAGCCATTTACAGTAGGTGACAATAAGACATACAATGGCTACTGGAACCCTCCCCTCTCTCCCCTGAAAAGCTACAGCATCTACTTCCAGGCACTCAGCAAAGCCAACGGAGTAAGTATGGCCACATGGAGGCCATTCCTCACCTTGTTTGCATTTTCTCATTCTCGAATGATAAGTCAGCAGGGCCCTAGAGCAGAGGTTGAAAAACTAAGGCCCAGGGACCAAATCCTACCTCATGCCTTTAAATTAAAAAAAAAAAAATGCAGCTATGCCTGTTTATTTATGTACTGTCTATGGCTGTTTTGATGCTTAACAGTAAAGTTGAACAGTTATAACTGAGACTATATTCCCCACAAAGCCTAAGATATTTATTATATGACCTTTTATGGAAAACCTTTGTACACTTTTGTACTAGAGTATAGAGATGATGCTTTACTTGAGGAAATTACATGACCTCTCTGAGCTTAATGTCTTCATATGTAATAATAATATCTATCAGTTTATTATCTGGGAAGGCACTAAGCGTGGTTTAGTTGATCCGTGATTAATACCCACTTTATCATTGCCATTGGTCACGTTAGAAAATAATTTTTCTCCAAAGACAAGGTAACCATTGTGTCAAATATTTCTTTGGTCAAGGATTGGCGCCAGTCATAATACTAGAAAACCATAGGGCTGGAAAGGATATCAAAAGTCATTCAACAACCCCAAACACACACAAAAATGGTTTTATCAATATCACAACACCAATTAACTGGCGTTAGTGCTTATTCTGGAATACTTCCAATGACAGAGAACTCACTTATCTCTGAGGTAGCTTTGCTGTTTTCTAGATTAGGGAGTGGGCTGTGTCTCTAAGGAGGCTTTCCAGCATACTTACTGAAATATTTTCTGTTGAAGTTGGTACTTATTGTTCTTGATTCAGACGCTTAGGATCCTACAGAACCAATGCAACCACCTTCTTGGTTTATAGCCCTTCAGTTACATAAGATCTTTTCTAACGCCCTTTTCTTCTTTATACAAACATGCTCTTATGATCCTCTTTCCTGCAAGCTAAATATCTTTAGTCTCTTTTATTATGTGAGTTTGTATTTTCCATCCAAGTGGGCATATTTCTTTTAACAAACATCTAGCAAACACTGACAAATGCTAAGTCCTCCAGTTCACAGTAAGGTTATGTAGTATGTGCCCTGCAAGGGCTTATAGACATGTAAGGGAAGCTGTCATATGCCATGTTATGCAGTGTATAACATGAAGAACTGAGAAGCTTGCTGGGGAAGGGAAGCCTGAGACAGAAGCAAGATTCAGTGGAGTCTGTGGGGAACAGCCTGCAGGTGCTGGGTGGCCAGGATAGAGCGTTTAGTCTGTCAATGGCAGTCATTGCTTGGTGAGAAACCTGGATTGAGGAACTAATTAACATTTAGAATGTCCACATACCCATTTAAATTCCACTGTGGTATTTCAGTTCTGCATTTATTACTGGTTCAAGCAACACTCCTCACAGAGAGCATAAGACTACAAAGAGAAGCTGCCAGACTGCCTTCCACCTGTCCATCTGGTCTTCCTGCTGCATGAAGCACTAGGATGTATTGAGCAGGAAGACGTAAAAATTGGCAGAAGCGTCTGGGGCTCATCTTGTTCTCGGTTCTCAGCATCCCACGCTGGCCAGTTTGTCGGTTCAGCACAACTCTAAGAAGGTGTGGCCTTCCCTGCTCTTGGCACATGTCAAAAGGTGTGGTTGAGTTTTCGTGCTAGGAAGAGAAAGAAGTAGCTTCACTTTATTCTTCCTACTAATATACTTATGAAATCTAGAAATAGAACATATCTATGGAACCCAGGACACTAGCAAATGCACATCAAAAGCAATTTCCTCATCAGAGGGGTGGTTGGTCCTGAGCCAACCACAGAGGTTTTGTTGCAGGAAAGCGGTCCCAGTCCAGACCCCAAGAGACGGTTCTTAGATCTCATACAAGAAAGAATTCAGGGTAAGTCCATAGAGTAAAGTGAAAGCAATTTTATTAAGACAGTAAAGGAAAAAAGAATAGCTACTCCATAGACAGAGCAGACCTAAGGACTGCTGGTTGCCCATTTTTATGGTTATTTCTTGATATGCTAAACAAGGGTTGCATTATTCATGCCTCCCCCTTTTTAGACCATATAGGGTAACTTCCTGATGTTGCTACGGCATTTGTAAACTGTCATGATGCTGGGGGGAGTGTAGCAGTGAGGTCTACCGGAGGTCACTCTCATGGCCATCTTAGGTTTGGTGGGTTTTAGCCAGCTTCTTTACTGCAGGCTGTTTTATCAGCAAGGTCTTTATGGCTGTATCTTGTACCGACTTCCTATCTCATCCTGTGAGTTAGAATGCCTTAACTGCCTGGGAATGCAGCCCAGTAGGTCTCAGCCTCATTTTACCTAGCTCCTATTTAAGAGGGAGTTGTTCAGGTTCAGATGCCTCCGACAGTTTTGCTCCGCAAACATCACATCGGAGACCTCCTTCTTCAAGACACAGGGATTTCCCATAGAGGAAAAAAAAAAGTTTCTGACTCTGAAACTGTCTCATCTCAGAAGCAGTTTTGACACTGCTTCAGAGTTGAACAAGGCCATTTAATTGCCTGTGCCTTTTCCTCCACAGCATGCATATGTGCTCTTGCTGGAACTAAGATTCCCAGTAACAAAACAGACAGGAATGGAACTGGGTGAGTGCTTATGCCACGTGTGGGTACAGTTGACCTCACAGGAATAGAGAAAGGAAAAGCAGTTGGGGCTGGGTACTCAGGAGGCTGTATTTTTCTGGCAAAGGAAAAACTATACAGTTTCCAAAGACTGTCTTTAGTATTACATTTTACTGAAAAGAGTTGGGTGAAAGGGTCATAGAAGCAGAACAGCCATCCTCAGCCTAACAAATCTCTGCCTGGTCCCTCTCAGATTTTTCCATATCATAAAGGGCAGCAGACAATGATGCTAAGCCTGCAGGTTTTTTTGAGGAGAAAGTGTTTTAACCCACAAATTCCTTATCAGCCAAGTTGTTGTTCTTGTGCAAATACATCAGAAAGACATTGTTAGGATCCAGGGACTGCCACATTCCCTGCTTCTTATAAATCATTCACAGAGCAATTGACAGAGCAATGAATCAAAATAAAGAAATCAAGAATTGAGAAATGTAGAATAAGAAGACCCACAGTGAGCATAAAACTAATTAAACATAGCATTAATGCTCAATAATGGCTCTAACTATGTTACCAAAGGGAAGGTTAATGTAAAACATAACTACTTGAGGCAAAGAAGCGTAATGCAAAAAGTTAACGGTTCCAATCTGGATCTGTAATTCACTATTTTGTCAACAAAAACTAAGACAGAGTTGGAAGATGGATGAATGTAAATAAAAATCTGCTCATTTTCTCATGTTAGACAAGAGGGAATGTATAACTACTGTGTTATTTCTGATACTGCAAATATTTAAAAGTATCATTCTTTTAAACATAAAGTCAACTCTCTGATCTATACTCAAAGATCTGAGAAAAAACAGTCAACAAAGAAAATTGGAGAAAATTAAGAAAACTATAAACATGAAAATCAGAACTATAAAACAAGCCTGAAGATGAAAGTACTAGATTTGATGTGGGGGAAAAAAAAGTGTTGTTTTGCTCCATTGTGAAAGAAAAAAAAAAAAAAAACAGGTCAAACAAAATTAGAATTAGCCTTATCTGTATCACTAGAAGATTAAAGACAAAGGGTAAGATAAAGTTTATTAAACTAAAACAATTGAAAGGAAAGCAGCAATGGGCATTTGTGGCAGGATGATTGTAAGCCAGGTGGAATAATTTACTATAAGCAAATTTCATTGCTCCCTACCCTACCTGCATGCTTTAGTCAGGACAGGGTAGGAAAATTCTGGGATCTGGACATCTTTGTTCTATGGAAGTTAAGGATGGTTTGTCAGCCTAACAGAGTGGCTATGAATTCAGCCTTTACCACCACACTGCCTACATACAAAACCCTAGGAGATGTGTGTCTTTCAGTAAACTATTAAAAGAATTAGATATAATAGATTAAGGAAACATCTATCAAGCAGGTGCAATATGTCAAAAAAGGCCTTATTCTGAGTGCTGAGAATGCAGGAATGAGTCAAGCAGAGATACCTGATCTCATTGTGTTTTCATTCTAAGTGGGGGAGAGAACATAAATAAATAAGTGAAATCATGTATCAAATAATGAATCCTTAGGTTTCACATTAGGAATGTGGAAGTCAGTCATTAAATATTGACTATAATTAACATGAGGATAAAGACATTTTGTAGACTCTTTGGTGGTCTGTGCATACGGAGTGTTTTAATCCAGCCCTGTGAACACCATGGAGAGTTCAAGTGTGGCGTTCATTATAAGACATGGTGCTCAGAGTTCTTGCAGGCATTTTCATGAAGTGTGAGTTGTTCACAGGCACTTGGGTTGGGAATTTTCTTCCAATTAGTAATCTCACATTGACCAACCATTGATGCCTTGTTACAGATAACAAGAGTAGTCCCATTTGTCCTGGCACACTGTCCTTGATGCCTCATTCATAGCACCTGTTTCTTATGAATTAGACCACGCTGTAACCATTTGTTTTGGGATACAGCAATATTATAGATCTATAGTGTTGTAGAGCAGGATGGACTTTGAAGTGTCAGCTAGCCTATGCTAGAAGCCAAAAAAAAAAATCTCCAATAAAGCCTTCTTAGCAAGACATTATATTGCTTCAGCTTGATCACTGCAAATTGCTGGAGTGAAAGGGAGTTGATTCCTTTGTGGAGCAGGTAAAATTATTGAGACTTTTTTCCCGTATAAAGGCAAATTCTGTCTCCTTGACTCTCCCTTTGTAGCCACTTGTATTGATTTGAACAAATCAAATCTTTCTTTCCTATGTTAGCCTTTTAGAGAAAATATGACATTACCAGCTACCCTCCTCTGGCCACTCAAGTTATTTCTCATTGATAATTAACGTGCTATTCTTTTATTTTGCACATGGCGTAATTTCTGAATATCCTTCATCCTACTTACCCTTTTATCTTAAAGTCTCCTTTTTCCCACCATGTTCTCCCAAAAAGAGTTGCCCAGAACCTACCACTGTT